TCCCTTGTTTTGCAGTCAAACACACTAGACAACATTGCTTACATCATGCCTGGACTGTGACAGCAAGGCGTCCCGGGACAGAGACCTTATCCTCCCCCATTGCCGGTTTGTGTATATATGACTGTTCCAGATCCCTTCACTGGCCTCCAGGTGTAGGTTTTAAATTTTTATATATATACATATATATATATATATAATGTACAATATATACATAGGACTGCAACTACTTTGCTTTTAATAATTTTATGAAATGGCAAAGGTTTAGCCAAGAAGAAACCTTGGCATGAATATGGGCTTGGGATTCTTTTTTCTCCTGTGGTGGATAAATCTGCCTTAAAAATCAATGTAACTTGGGGGCTGGGGGCTTGTTCTGGGTGCCAAGGGCATCTCTTTATGGACAGCTAAAATGTGATTTTTTTCCAAACTCAGTTGTACCTCCAGACCCATCACTGACCATTTGCCTTACCTGTCTTACTGTCGGAAATGTAATAGGAAAGATTATGGGAAGATGCTAGTTGACTGAACGTACAAAGCCTTTCAACTTAAGTGACCTAGATAGGAAGTGATGAAATCGTTCCCATCGTACAGTTACTGCAGTGGCTTAGGTGAACTTCGTAGGGGGTTCATTCCCATTCCTGCTATACAGGTGTCCGTGTCTCAAAATTTCTTGTAATCATCGGTACCATTAGCAGCCTCAGTAGGGGCCAAGGAGTTACGTGAGCCCCAGCAGCATAAAACACCTTGGAGAGGGTAAAGCTGCTATTGCACAAGTTGAATTGCATATATTGTGAGCTGACCCAGAATATTCCATCTACAGAACAAATTGCTGATATCTTCCATTGGCAGCATTAGCTCAGTCACTGAGTCCTCAAAGGTTTTGCTGCTTAGTTGCCTGATGGTTGGGGAAGATGAACTTTGCCCAGCATGATTCGTGGGTTCATCCTGTTGGCTCCCCTGGTGGGCAGATAGATACCCAGTGTTCTGCATTCCACACATAAGTGAATTGCAAAAGAAAGTACTAGATTCTCATGTAGGTTTATTTATGTGAGCGTGTGAATGTGTTTTAATTATGTGTATTTAACTCTTTAAAATCTCTTAGATTTTAATTTATCCTGTAAATTTCTGTATATATAATTTAATAACAAAAGCCTCCACCAGCAACAGCATGTGGAAGATACAGATTTGTCATTTCTTCCCTCCTTCTTTCCTCTGGTCTCCTCTGAGAACTCCAAAGCATCTACATTTTAAGGTATTGTGCCTCAAAAAGGAATAATTATGTCGGGATTCTAATTCTTTATAATTCAATAATGTCAAGAAAGCAAAGTTAAAAGGAATGTTACCATTCCCAGCTGCCCACTTTTCCAAAGAACCAGACTTTTACTTCCCAGTTCCAAAGAAGACAGTGAGCACTTCAGGGTTGTTTTTCAATCTGGTGTGAGATTCCCTGCCAAAACCAAGCTCCGGGGTAACTGTGCTTTCTTCCCCTGGCCTAGACGGAGCACTACAGCATCAAAGTAGATCTTTGAGGACCGTGCAGCCAGCCTGCATCTGACTTAATCCCTTCCCTTCTCCCCACCAGTGTGGTCACAGGGCTTTGTTTCCTGATGGTACTCTGGCTGCTGATCAGCCCTCAGCTCAGAGCAGTTGTGAAGTTTAATTGGGGAAACAGAAGGAAACGGGTATGTTTGGGAACCAAAATCAAGAAGAGCCGAAATCTGGGTTTGATTTCATGTGTTAGACCCTGTGCCATGCCTCATCCGTACCCATGGAAGTTTCCTGTTTGACACAGGGTATATCAACAAGGGGCCTTGAAGACACGGATTAGTACGGAAGAAGTCAATCCTACCCTTGTCATTTGTGCACATTAATGAAATCCTGATGAGGACCTGCTTTTTGTTTGTTTTCCTTTAAAACCCAACCCTATTGTATTTGTATTTAAATTTGTACACATTTGTATAATAATCTGTACCTTGTGGTATTTGGTACTACTAGAGGAAAAACTTTGGATTCAGACCTTCTTGCAGTTTTTATATCATTGTTTTATTTTGTTTTTTAAATAAATTCTAGCGGTTTGATCCAAATCCCATTACAGTTGTATAAAGAAATAAAATTTTGTACTTATATTATTAAAAATCACATTTTTAATATTTTTAGTCCGGTCTCAGGTATCTTTTCCCTGTTCCTGACCAAGTTGCTGTGAAATTCTAAAACCTGTCATTTTCCACCCATATCCCACCATGATTTTCTTAAAAAGAAAAATCTGGACTAGAGGCCAAGTTTCTGATCTTAGCCGTTTTCCTAACATACATCTTGCTCTGTCTCTATTAACTTTTACATTGTAGAGTCTCGTGTTCTCTCTCTTGCAAACTAAAAACCAGTGACTCTGATAAGAAGCTCTATTCACTGATAAATGAAATTGTATGTACACCACAGTGTTGGCCTAACACAGGAAAATAGCAGTCGTGTATTAAGGGTCACATCTGAACCATGTGCTTAGACATGATATATTTCATGCTGTTGTCAGTCCTCTCCTGACTAAATGAGTGATGTTGGATAGGTCACTTAAGTCCTTATGGGCATCTGAAGTCCCACCAGTAAAGAAGTGTTAAGGTCACTCCCACCCCCAAGCCTGCGGCCAGCCAGCCTGACATGAGTGTCTAGTAACACTGTGAACAGTTAATATATGGAGACCTGACCTCTCAAGGTAAAAATTTCAATGCAAACCCAAGGTGTTACTAGTCAGAAATGGTGCACTATTTGATCAATGGGAAGGCTGACCTCTTAGGGAGAGGCTACAAGAAAGAGACCAAGACTGCTGAGTGACTAGGAAAGAGCGATTTGCATGTTTTCTCTCTCTTAATCCTCCCACGAGCCTTATGAGTGTTACCCCCTTTACAAATGAGACAGATGCAGAAAAGTGCTCTTCCTTGGGTCGCACAGCTAGTAAATGGCAAAGCCAGAAGCAGCACACGGGCACAGCTGACCCAGGGCCTAGGCTCTCTTCCGCCCCAAACCACATTCACAGTCGGATTGTGTATGGAATCCATCAGAATCCTTCTCTGTTATCGACAGTCCTGAGCAAATGAGATCATAGGAAGACTACCCAAGACTTTTCCATCGTTCAAATGTCTGCTTGTCCTCGCTGGCTTTTACTAGACAGGCCTCACTTTTCTTGTCATACTATTGTCTTTCAACTTTGGAGGTAGAGGATCTTGATTTTTGTCTAAAAGGACTTGAAGGATATAACAGGTTACATCCCATTTAAGCAATATGTCAGTCTTAGGGACATATTTGCCCTCAAGAAGGCATTTGATATCAATATTACTAAAATACTTAAAAAATTAAAACACTGTTTACTAAATGAGTTTGTTCCTTGTTAGCAAACACTTAAAAAAATAAGCTGGGGACACCTGGGTGGCTCAGTCAGTTAAGCACCTACCTTCGGCTCAGGTCATGATCCCAGGGTCCTGGGATCAAGTCCCACATCCGGCTCCCTGCTCAGCGGGGAGTCTGCTTCTCCCTCTCCCTCTGCCCTTCCCCCCTGCTCGTGTTCTATGTCAAATAAATAAATAAAATCTTAAAAAAAAAAAATACGTTCTCAGGACTCTGAGAACAAGAGTCACATGCTCTACCAACTGAGCCAGCCAGGTGCCCCTTAACAATCACTAGTTTGTTTGGTTTTTTTTAATGTTTTATTTATTTATTCATAAAAGAGAGAGAGAGGCAGAGGGGGGTCTGCTTGTCCCTCTCCCTCTACCCCTCCCCCACCCGTGTTCTGTCTTTCAAATAAAACCTTTGAAAATAAATTTTCATATATTAGTCACCACGCTAGACAACAGTGGTGAGCAAAGTAGACAGTATCCCAGCCCTCACAGAGTAGCTAGACTGGTGGGGAGAAGGGCATTTATGAATAGGTCTCATGAGCATTATTAAAACACTTCAAAGCGCAGGAGTACAAGACTTCCATAAAGTTCTTACACTGTACAGTAAAGTTATCAGCCCCTGTGGCTGCTCAAACAAGATAACATAAGGAAGTGATTAAGTTTTAATTTAGGTTCTCCATCATCCTAAATTTGTACAATTTACTAGCCTAATTAAAATCACAATTACTGTGATCAATTAAATATGAAAGCCACCCTGCAGTAGCCCAGACTACCAAAGCAGTGGTTATTGTATCTTTTGGACTACATATGATTAAAAACAAACAAACAAACAAACGTAATAGGTCAGATCTGATCTAATGTGTGGGTGAAATACCTAAAACCTGGTACATAGGAAGGCTGAAGAAGATATTAGAATCCTAGAACTAGGAAGGGCCTTTGAGAGTCTTAAAATTTTTAACTTGGGGTCTACTACTGTCTTCGGGGACCCCAGAAAGTCCCTGAAGTTAAATTGTATCTCTGCCCTTTTTTCTTCCAAAAGATTGGTGGTTTTCTTCAAGTTCTCCAAGGAGCCTGTGACCTAAAAAAAAAAGAAAGGTGTACAGTCTTTGATCTAATTCCAGCATCCGGAAAAAATGGAAGCTCGCTGTCTGACTCACACAGTAAATGGTAGAGATGAGTCCCGGGCCCCACTAATGACTACATCTGGGTGCTTTCTGCCACTCTGGGCTCTAGCCCATTCCTCGCTGCAGGTCACTGAGTTGGTTCTGTCAAGGGATAGCAATCCCCTGGTGCTGCCTTCCAATTTGAGATAAGCGAATGTGGGCTGCAAGCAGCATACATCTTGCCACAGGGAGGCCTGGACATCAGATAGGAAGAGCTCTATCAGGGCAGGGAGACAACAGGCCAGAGATGCTGTCAACCCCAGCGACGGGGGCGTAGTCTAGTGAGGTCACTAGGGTGAGAACTGGTCTGAGCTTGCTGTGTAACCTTACCCAAGTCATTTCCCTGCTCTGCGACCGTTTGACAGCAGCACCCTTAAAAAAAAGCTGGGGCGTGGCTTGGAGAGGCCTCGCCCCCAGATCCGCCCAGCCCTACATCGTGCGCGATGTCCGCAGACGCCGAGTGAGTGGCAGTGAGGTCATCGCCCTCCGACTCCCGGCACCCGACCCTCCACGCCAGGGGCGGGGCCTGTGGCCGCGCTCGACTCCCTACGCCCCGCCTCCACGGACGCCTCCTCGCGGACCGTCCGGCACGTCACGTGACGGGTCGGCGTCGCTGGCGGTTGCTGTCAGCTGATTCCCCGGGTTGGTGGCTGGGGCAGCCGCGGCGATGGACTTTCTTCTGGGGAATCCGTTCAGCTCTCCGGTGGGACAGCGCATCGGTGAGTCCCCGGAGCCCCGCCTAGCCCCGCCGCAGGGCCCCGCACCCGGTCTCGGTCCCCCGGGGCCCCTCCAGATCCCAAGCCACCCTCTGGAGGGAGGCTGGGAGGGGAACGAGGCTGGCGTGTCTCTCCCCGACCTGGCCCCGCCCAGCCTCCCGCCTACCTTGATTGACAAAAGCCATGGTCCATTAGGAAGGCTCGACTTGTGATGGATGCCTACGTCAGCCAATAGCTAAAGAGAGAGCGCGGGTCCGGGCGGCCGCGGCTCAGCCAATGTGTGGCTGCTGGGGTCGGTGAATCCAGGGAGAAAGTTTGGGGGTGGAAGGGGCTGCGTGGTTTTACCGTTTTGGGGCCCCGGCCTGTCTCCTTCGTCGCCTCCCCAGCCCGGGGCGTGGCGCCTAGGCTCTTGCCTACTCCCTCCTGGCTCGCCGCGCTCTCGGGACACGGATACCGGAGAAGGGCTATAAGTCCCTTCTCTCAGGACCAGGAGACCGGGGCTTGGCGTCTGGGCGGGCGACTTGTGGGGACGGGGCCAGGCAACCCTGCTACTCCCGGGGCCGGGCCAGACGCTGGCGAACCTGCCAGACCAGCAGCAGGTCGACCGCACGGTCGCAGACTCCTCGAGCTGGAAGTGATCTCAGGAACTACCTGGTTCCGCCTCCCTCGTTTCTCAGTAGACGGGTGGGCCAAGCACCCTGGCCGGAGGCACAGACTCCCTGGGAGCCCAGGTCTCCTGGCTCTCCTGCCCCCTGTTGACGGGAGACTTACTAGCTCTGTGACGTTGCCTCCTCCCTGTAATTAGGGGTATATTAATGGGCCCTGCTTCCGTGGGGTTGTTGTGAAGGTTCAGCTCATTAATAATTGTAAAGTACTTAGAACCGTGCCTGGCAGGTAGCCCTGCTATATAAAAGAAAGTGGTAAAATTTATCCGCATTGTCACTGAGATACCACCAAGTGAGGGTCGGGAATCCCTGGAAATAGCTGGGCGGAGGGTTTCATAGGTGCTCCTTGTCGTGCACCAACAGAGGGAAGAACCACAGGCCCTGGCCCAAACAGCTAACACTTCCCCAGGGGCAGTCTGGATGTGCCTCCTCGAATTAGGAAACTGTGGCCAGTACTGTGAAATTCTTCCTTCATCCTCTTGATGGCCTTTAGCATTCAGTCCAGACTGGAAAAATTGGAACTTTTAGACATTCTTTCCTCTCTTACTGTCTTGGAAGCCAAACCTCACTTAACTGTCACCCCAGCTCTATGATGTAATCAGCACCATGGCTGTCTGTGGCCCTTCTGAGGTTTTGTAATCAAATTTGTCCAAGGGGGGTGGGGGGAAGTCCAGGATCTATTTACAGCCAGAAAGCTCCTGGACCAGAGAAGGGGAGGCTGCCCTCTGAGGAACACCCTCCCGGCTCCTGGCCACGCACACCCCGCAATGAGTCATTGTTTTGGAGCTGAAAAGAGAAAACGGCTCTCCCCTCATCTTTATTTCTCCAACAACAGATACCACTCTTTCATCACATGCCAAATTGGAGACTTCTTACTTCTTACCTTCAAAGTCAGCCGCATTTTCTGAACCTTTCTAGAAAAGCTCACCTGAGCTCTGGGCCTTAGTTTGTCAAAGAAAACAGCTTCTCTTCTTATCCTGAGGGTTGCCTGTCTGTCACAAGAAATACTCTGCCCAGAGAAAATGCTACTAAGTTATAATAGCTTAGAGCCCAAACCAAATTTTACTACTGAAGGGGTCCTTACACTGGGGGTCTTCTAACTCAGGGTTCTCCTCAGAATTCCCTGGAAGACTTGTTAAAGACAGATGGCTGGGCCCCACCCCCAGAGTTTCTGACTCTAGGTTCTGGAGTGAGCCCTAGAATATGCATTACTAACAAATTCCCAAGAGAGGCTAATGCCACTGGATTGGAAACCACATGTTGAAAAGCTCCATTCTAGCCCATCCCCTTCATTTTACACAGGAGGAGACTCTGACTCACCCAAGCCCCCAGGGAATTGGTAGTGAAGCTGTGATGAACTCCCCAGAACCCAAGAAATCATGAAAGTTAAACCAAAGCAAAGCTGAAGAGGTTCTAAAAGTAGAATTAAATGAAGAATAGCTGCCATTTTCCTAAATGCCGTCCAGTATTTTTTTTTTAATAAAGATGAGTCTTTTTTTTTTTTTTTAAGATTTTATTTCAGAGAGTGAGAGAGAGAGAGAGCACAAGAGGGGGTAGAGTCAGAGGGAGCAGACTTCCTGCTGAGCAGGCAGCCCGACGTGGGACTCGATCCCAGGACCCTGGGATCATGACCTGAGCCGGAGGGCAGACGCTTAACTGACTGAGCCACCCAGGCGCCTTGCCTTCAGTAGTCCATATGTTTCTTTTAGAGAAAGAGGTGGAAGGACTGCTGATTGGCTGTGATTATTGATGACCTAGTAGTTCTATAAGCTGTAGGAGTAAAAGAATCTCCAGGCTGCTGACTCCATCCCCTTTATTGCAAGTAGGGCTCTGTAGAGTTGGCCTCCCTGAGCACAGAGAGTTCCAGTGATGCTCATCAGGGGTGAGTGTCACTCAACTCACAAAGCCCACATCCTCCCACACACCCAAGCACCTTTCTGTTTGCTGCTCCCTCTCCCCGGCGTGCCTGCTCCAGCGTGCATCCTTCAAAGCTCAGGCACTGTCACCTCCTCCCTGAGGCCTTCCCTGACCCCTTTCCTGACCCCTTCAGATCCAGCCATTGCTTTCGTGCCCTTGCATCTCCCCCGCTCCTCAGGCTTCTTCACTCTCTGCCTTTGGGCCCTGAGCCTCCACTTCCTCCTGGCTGGAATGGTGGCTACAAGAGCATCCAGCACCTCTCCGGGTGGTGGTGAGAATGAAGCAAGCCGCCCCCCAGCCTCCCCGGGAGTGCCTGGCACATTGTGAGTGTGCGGAAAACATTAGTTCTTGCTGTCCCCACCATTGTCTTTATTATTTCCACCATCGCACGCTCACAGAGCACTGTCCCGTTCTGTTAGAACTTGTGCATGTGTGTCTCCCCAGCTAGACTAGACTTCCTGAGAACCAGGACTGGACCCTACTGGTCAGGACCCTCGGCACCTGGCATGGTCCCGGGCCCATAATAAGAGGGAAGAAAGGAGAAAAAGAAAGTAACATCCTGGGAGCAAATACCATGGGCCACGGACCATGCCTGGTTATTAATATTCACGGTGACGCTGCAAGGTTTTGCTATTTTTTCCATTTCACCAAAAGTAAGTGTGAGGGAACATACCATTTCACAGTTACTTGGGGTCGGGATCCAGACCCAGGTTTCTCTGGCTCAGAGCCCCTGTCCTCTCCTACCCCTCACCACGCTGTATCTGGCCGATCGGTACCTATTTGGAATTTACATTAGTCCAGCCCTCCACGTTCCACAGTTCACGTGAGTCCGTGCCACTGCCAGGTCACTCAGCCTTATCGTTCAGTAGGAGAGCTTCCCAAGTGCAGCAGCCTGTGGCCAGGTCATTAGTACGAGGTGGCACTGACACAGCTCTCTCCTTGCAAGGATTTCAAAACCCTTTCCAGTATCCTCTGAAGACAGATGTCAGAAGGCGACCCAAGAAGTGCATGGCCCGTTTCTGACTATCAGCCCAGCCCTGGCGCTTTGAGTCAGAGACCCGACTGACTCAGAAAGCACACTGTGCTCAACAGATGCTATCAACATGGGCAGTCCCCGAGGACCAGCTCCCAGGGCTTGGGCTGGACGTGGTGGCTGCTGGACATGACGGGAGAGCTCCGTGCCTAAGGCTGAGTCCTGGGATGGATGGGAGAGGGGAAGAAGTCAGGCAGAGCTGCCCTTGGGGATCCACAAAGGCCAAGCCAGGGGAGCCACAGGAAGGAATCATAGAAGGGAGACCCCAGGTGTTAGTAGAGAGAACACCTCGGGCCTTCTGGAGAGCCATTTTGGGAGTGATGGAGCTGGACACTGGCCGCCCAAGCGATGTTGTCGAGGGAACGGCAAGCTGGGAGGCAGGAGACCTGGGCCCAGCTCCAGTTCTGCTCCTACCAATGGCACATCCCCCTCGCCGTTGCCTGTAGCCTGCCTGCAACGTGCTGCCGTTCTCCCTTTCCTTCCAGAGCACTGAGGAGGAGCAGCCAAGGGGACGGAGGAGGACGGGGAAGGGTGGGCCCCAGAGAGAGGAAAGGAACTAACGGCCTCGAGAGGAGTGGTAGAGCGACTCCGCAGACTCGGAGGGCAGAGAGCGATGTCACCAGAGGGGCTCTCAGGGTCAGCACACACAGCCCCAGCCCCTTGCCTCGGTGTTGCTTGTTCTCCACCACTGGAGGGGCAGAGGTAGAGGCCGGAGGGCGGGGGGCTGTAAGGAGGATTCCCCCAGTGGCTGCCAAGAAGGACTAGACCAGGATTTGCAAACTTTTTGGAAGGATCCAGAAAGTAAATGTTTACGGCTTTGTGGGCCTGTGGACTCTTGTGACTGCTCAGCTCTGCCGCTCTACCAGAAAAGCAGCATAGACCGTGTGTAGGTGAATGGGCAAGACTGTGTTCCAGTCCAGTCCGACTGTTTGTGGGCAGTAAAATGTGAATTTCATATCATTTTCACATGTCATGAAATAATACTCTTTGGATTTGTTTTCAGCCATTTAAAGATGTGAAAACCATTCTTAGCCTTTGGGCCATACAAAAGCAGACTTAACTGGCACGTGCGTTCATAGTTCGCCGCCCTGGATCAGACCAGCTGGCCAGATGCAGAATGATGGAAGGCAGTGTTCCTCAGAGTGGGGAACCCCACGTCACAGATGTCTGAGGATGCTCCAGCCCTGGGCCTCCCAAGTCTAAATCCCTCCTACTTCCCACAGTGTGCCCTTCGGGGTATGGGGGGTGGAGGGCTCATGTCATAAAGCTCTGGGTCCCTGCTCTGTCAGTGCTAGAACGAGCTGAGAACCCAAGTCTCTGTCTTGAGGACAACAGGGAATGATGTCTAGAAAGGGCTTTGGGTCAACTGGGGCTGCATAGTAAGGTAT